CTGCAGCTTTATTAATAGTATAGTTGTAGCACGAATGGGTCGCCTCGACCGGGGAAGGACCACGTTCTCACAGAATACCAGCGTAAAATATAATGTATACTGAGTGTAGAGAACCGGAGACCTATTTTACTTGAAAAGAGGCATTAAAAGAATAAAATAATGTTCACAGATGGTTATCTGAAGTCAAAAACCATCTTAGATGGGAGGAGACCAGGCCCAGTAAAGGGATTCCTTTATTTCTATTCCTTTATTGGTGTTTAGTAGTTTGATTATTTTTGGTTTGAATGTATTTTGTGTCATATAATTTTCTGTTATATAAGAAAATCAACATAATTAAAAATATTATTTACAAAAGTTTTCGAAACGTATTTACTAGGTGGAAGGACTCATTTTCTGCCTAGGGGTCCACCTGGGTTGGCACCGCCCGCTTATCTATACATATAAATAAAATTGAAGTGTCTGTTTGTAATGTTAAAATAACAGCTTTTTACTAAATGCATATACGGTACTTACAACAAAAACACATTTTTTTTAAATTTTTGTCTGTCTGTTTGTTCCGGCTAATCTTCGAAACGACTGGACGGATTTCGACGGGACTTTCACTGGCAGATAGCTGATGTTCTAAGGAGTAACTTAGGCTACTTATATTTGAGAAAAATAATTAGGGTTCTGAGCAATATAATTAAAACCCTAAATAACACGCGGGCGAAGTCATGGGGAACAACTAGTCTGTTACATTTGTGCAGCCAAATAGCAGTACTTCCACTGCTTTGTTCTAGTCTGAACGCTATAGGGAGCCAGTATAATTAAAACTATGAGGCATTCCATCTCCGTCCTCACAGGTGACGACGCATCTTTGTTTGAATATATTTGCAGGTATTAACGAACTATAGAAGCTGCACCATCAGGCAGTGCACATGGCACTTCAGCTTTATAATATGTGTTAAATTGAAAATTTTAAAACCTCCGTAAAGAACCTTAACGCAGCTAACGAAACAACTGATGACCTTAAAACGGCTGAACCGATTTCCATAAAGCATGTCTATGAACCACCGCCAGAAAATCTGCTTTTAAATAAAATAAGCCGCATCCATATCGGTTCACCCGTTTAAGAGCTACGGTGCCATAGTTAGACACACACACATAGCGGTCACAAAAACACATAACTTATAACAAAAACCTAGCCTAATATGGAAAACACCATCGTAGATAGGTAAATAACACTTTATTGGATTGAAACAGCTAGACTAGTTTACTTTAGCTATTTCCATAGCATAATGTCGTATGGTATTTTGCTATGGGAACACGCAGCTGACACTGAAATTATATTTGTTTTCTAGAAGAGGGCCATAAGAGCAATTCATGATAGTCGCTGCGACAAAAATTTAAGGAAATTAATATATTAACTTTGGCATCTCAATACATTTATGAAAATGTAATGTACGTACACAAAATTAAAAGTAGTTTTACAAAAATAAGTGATATTCATTCTGTAAATACTAGGAACAGACACAAGCTAGTAGTACGAGTACAAGTTACTCGACTCCATCGAGTCAGTAATTCATTCTTGGGGCGATGTATACGCTTTTACAACAAAATTCCAGAAAATATACAAAATTTGACTTGCTCAAAGTTAAAAAAACTTTATTAAACTAAGTTTGTATAAAAAGGGTTATTATAATATTAAAGAATTTATAGATGATAATAACCCCTGGAAATGAGGTGATCGCTACGAAGCTATTTCTAATTTGTTGTGTTGTTAATTTGTGTAACATACATGATTGTAAGCTGTTATTTAAAAAAAAGTCCCGTTAGGTTTCTTGCTGGTTCTTCCCAGGACAGAGGTTTTTTTTCGAACCAGTGGTAATTATACAAAAGAGTGACTTTCAATAAGTATTATTTATAATCTATATTGAATAAAAAAGTTTCTGTTTCTGTTTCTGTTTCAAACTTAAAATAGTTACAGTAACGGAAACTTATAAAGTTATAAACTAAAAATTACTGTGCTCATAGCGCTTTAGCGATTTCTACGAAACAAAGCGATTGCGAAAAGAAAATATTATATACACACGTATATAAAATTAAATTATCTATAAATTCGTATTCTGCCTTACACGTTCTACAAGAACAGGAAACCTATACTTTATAAAGCCCTTCTTTTTTTTAGATTCCATATCCGAAAAGTAACCAACGGGACCCTGCTACTAAGCCTCCACTGTCCGTCCGTCTGTCCGTCCGTTCATCCGTCTGTCTGTCAGCGGGCTGTATCTCATGATCCGTAATAGGTAGACAGTTGAAATTTTCACAGAATGTGTATTTCTATTGCCGCTATAACAACAAATAATAAAAAAAAATAAAAAAAAATTAAAAGGGGCTCCCCTACTAGAATCGTGTATTACGATGGTATGGAACCCTTCATGTGTGAGCCGACTCGCACTTTGCCGGTTATTTTTGCTAGAATTGCTATATGAAAATTTAAATAAATCCAACAATTTTGTTATTTACCTAATGGTACTCAGATATTATGTTTACGGCAAACGTATGGATATTTGGAACCAAATTGTCCGATGATACATGCCATTAGTAGTTAGTAGCTATATTGAAAATAACATTGGCACGATCGTAATTTGATTAGATATTATCCTGCCTCCATCATACTTGCCTGTTTAAATTTTTAATAGAAGTACAAGGGTGACAAACGACACACAGTTCACCTGATGTAGAGTGGTTACTAAAGCCAACCATTTTGATCCATAACTAATATGATATTTAGTAAAGTGCGTATTATATTTTTTTGATGACTAATGAAAGATTGTTTTAAAAAGTAAAATAAAAAATGTTGTAAAAAGAGTTTGAGAACTTTCTTGTTACTAACAATGCACTAAATGTTGAGCATGTAAAAAATAAAAAAGTATTTAGCGATTTGTATTACCGATTGACTGTAATCTAAAATAAAAGGTTACAAAATTAACTATTCACGCCTGGCGCTGCGATTCTTGTCAAATATTCACTTAAAAAGTGTAAATAAGATACGGGACGCATTATATCGTATTGTGTACACGTAATATACTTCCACTTAAATTAATTATCTCATGCACACAATAAAAAGGAAAATTTAAAATTTAAATATTGCATTTCAAGAACACCAGCGCACCAAGTTTCTAAATGGTCGTAAGATAAGCATGCAACCTAGTGTCCAGTTCAACATGCTGCACTGCGCTGTTCTAGCTAGACTGCGTATCGAGCATGGCAATGCCCGTGTTTTATTTTATAAAACTGATGCAATAAATGAAATTACAGTCCACCGGATAGTCAATGGAAATCTGCACCCAACTTCATACAAAGGCTACAGATGCGTTGTCAAATGAGGACTAAGATCTAAGATGGAATGCCTCACAGTCTGTAACTATCCTGGCTCTCTACATTCTTCAGACCGCAACATAGCAGTACAAACAATGCTATTTGGGGCCGGGTAAGCGGGTGATACTTACCCAGGAAAAAAAGGACTCTTGCTTTGTGGGCGTTAGTTAAAACACTTAGTGTGTGTTTTGCTAGATGTAACAAATATACGTGATAGAGTAATGCTGCAGCTATATTACTAGTATAGTTGTACCACGAATGGGCGAATGGGTCGGCTCGACCGGGGAAGGACCACGCTTTCACAGAATACCAGCGTAAAATAGCAGCTTATCGCTACTGTGTGTCGTATGGTGAGTGTAGAGAACTCGAGACCCTTTTTACTGGAAATGAGGCATTCCATCTTAGTCAGTAGATAGTAATAGAGGATAGATGTAGATGTCTATGGGCCGCAGCAACCACTTAACATCAGGTGGAGTCTGTGCTCGTTTGTTACCCTTATTCATTAAAAAAAAATAACACTAAGTGTGGACAATCCTTGAGGATAGCATATTTTCTCTGCCGTTAATTTTACACCGAGTGTACGAAAGTGATAAATTATATTGTTATGTACATAGTACAAAGTACAATGAACTTAAGGTGGTTATTACATACATGCTTTGTACCCACGGTGACATCATCCGAATACTATGGATAAATATCAACTGGCCACGTTTCACAAATATTGACATTTATAATTATTCGTCTTTAGTAATTTAAATTTTGTTGGAGTCACGCTGCAGCTGTATTATCGTTTCAGCTAACAGGATACCAGTTTAAAAGAGAAATAGAGAGTGAGTGAAGAGAACCAGTAAAAGAACTGGTTATCATTTCATAGGCATTTCATCTTAGTTCTAGATTTTTAATCAGATGAACGTGTCTATGGGCTACAACATCCACTAACCACCGATCAGTGTGATTGTACGTCAGACTTACTTTAAAAAAATATATAATAATATAATTAGTAGTAAGTCAAAAATAAATAATGATAAGTTTAAAGATCGGTAAGATACAAACATTAAACATTCACAATAACACGAGACACGAAAGCCAATAGTTAATATTAAAGATGTTAAAATTAATTATCTAACATCCGTGTATAAATAAAAATGAAGTATCTTACCTAGTTTGGAGAGCACTTCCCGCCCGCCTTCAAGTGCGTGCACTATCCCATGTGAGGGAGAGCGTATGGGTAAGACTAAGTTAGCTAATTAATTTTGACATTTTTAATATAATGAATTTCCACAAAGTAATGCCTGATGCTATTTATTATCGATAATTAAATAGGTTATATTCGACATACATTTTGTATACAAACGACATTCTAGTTTGTACCTTACTCATGTGATTAGTCCACTCCCAAATTAAAAGTCAGATTAATTTTAGAGATGAAGAGAGAATTTCAACAAAATATTTTTTTGAAATTGGAGCTCACTCTTCTATACACTATGTCTTATACCGGTGGACCGGCTTCAGAAGCTATTACGTAAAAAATAGATTCTTCTCTTTTGTTCCTTGAAGTTGATTTAAAGGTTTCATTTTTGCTAATTAATTGTCTGTTGATATTTGTATATGTATTTGTGTTATAGTAATTAATTCAATACCTTTTCTAAGTATAAGACCGCTAGAAACCACCACAGTCAAATTGCTTAGAAATATAATAGCTCCGAACACGTAGGCGACGGATCTGTATGCACTCAGTTGCTCGCTCTCCTTGGTTCTGAACGCTTCATACAAATCAAACACATGCGTCTGTGTCACTTCACTATGATTCGTAAAATTTGATGTATTGGCACTAATAACATTTGTCACTAAATTGGTCAAAATGTGATCCGTTTGTGAGTCTGAGCGGTAGTAACTCATTGTCTTTATGTCACTGTTACATTAAATCGATCGTATATTCAAGTTTTAAAACGTTTGTGCAAATCATCACAAGCTGACGCACCTCTCGTATGGCGCATGTCAATACCGACGGCTCTTAGCAAAGAATGAGAGGATGCCAAACATTGCGCATCTTGAGGATAAAGTTAAATGGTCGGTTTTGTTGTTTATAATGAGGTGATTTACATTTTATAGTTCCTTGGATAACTATCGGAATCAAACTGACACAAGACTGTTGGCATTGTTCATCAAATCTATTTGAGTTATAAATGATTCATAGACAGTTCCAATTATACATACTTATACTGTATGGATTTTGAATTTATACAGTATAAGTAGATTACAGTATACTGATAGACAGACAGACGGACAGGCAGACAGACAATATTTATTCATTTCTTAATGCTATGCAAGTTTTTATGCAGGTTTTTGATTTGTAATAAAGGATAGATGTAAATGTCTATGGGCCGCAGCAACAACTTACCATCAGGTGGACTGTGTGCTCGTTTGTCACTCTTATCCTATAAAAAAAATGCAAATAACCTGTTGATCTTATAAAAGGCTGTTATTTTGCTATTACTGACAGACACTTCGATTTTATTTATAACTAGCTGACCCGGCGAACTTCATACCTCCTTACAGTCTAATTTTTTTTAATACTAATTCTGCTATTCGGTACTCCGTGTCAGCTAGTAAGATAAACAACGAAAAAAGAAAGTGGATCAGTCAACAGTTACATTATGTCAAAAAATAAAAGTTATAAAACACTTAAAATTCTTTTAATAGTCACTAAAAATCACAATGAAAATTACAATTTCTGATTTCTTATTATGATACCTACTTATTATATTTCATTTTAGTTTTACTTATTCTAAATTAAGTTTCTATCGTATAAATATTGACAAATATTTATACGATATGATATAATATTTTTACGATACTAAAGTCACTCAATTGTTTTGCCTTCCCGGAACCCCTCCACTAACACTTAAACTTTATGGTATGGTATTAAAGTTCAAATTGACTTTTAAGTATTATTACGAATCTTTTGTATGGGAATATAGAAAAGTGTTGTTTTCAGACTTTCAGGCAATTTTTTAAATTTTTCTCTCCGTATGAACCATCAACTTCGTACTTCAAGGAATATTATAAAAAAAGAATTAGCGAAATCGGTTCAGCTGCTCTCGAGATTTGCGCTTAGCAACACATTCAGCGATTCATTTTTATATTATAGATATACATGTATCTATTCATAATCTTTATTTATAACCATATAATATCCTTCATACCGAATTCCGGCCACGGCTTCTAGTCTCAACGTAGACTATATTATGCACATATGCATATGCACAGAACAAGATTATTGTGTCCAAGTGACTTGTGCCCAAGACTATTACCTCATTCTTATAGTCTAATGGGACATAAGGCGCAAGACCAGCGGCTTTACGTGCTTTCTGAGGCTAAGGACTGAATCACCGTCAACTTCCTGACTGCGGCCTGCTACTGATAATTGCTAGACAGAAAATCCAACAACAGATTTTGGCCCGACCTGGGCTACGAACCTAGGACCTTATGATTTTTTTTTAATAGAATTTGACAAACGAGCACACAGACCACCTGATGGTAAGCGGTTGCTGTATAGACATCTACATCTATCCTCAATTACGTATCATAATGTAGATGGGTTGTCACCCCTGAGGACTAAGATGGAATGCCTCGTTTCCAGTAAAAAGGGTCTCCGGTTCTCTACACTCACCATACGAAACACAGAAGCGTTTGCTACTTTACGATGGTATTCTGTGAGAGTGTGGTCCTTCCCCGGTCGAGCCGACCCATTCATGCTACAATTATATCATTAATATAGCTACAGCATGGCTACCACGTATATCGGTATGATCGGGAATGCGTTTACGAGAGGATCATTTATCAGAGGATTAACGAGGCGGTCTAGTTGATAACCATACAGTAAATATGAACATACAGTGAACACATCTGTATTTTTATTTTCAAGCGTGTAGGAAGAACTCTACACGGTTATAGCGTCCACTTACGGTCCGGTGGGAGTTATGCTGGTTTGTTACCCTTGTACAAAAATATTTTATAAAGACATTATTTTTTTCCATAAAATATTGTACATCAAGATAACCAAAATCCAATGTGCAATATTTTATGTTAATTTATGTGATAAATTGTATAAACGTGACGCTTGACCCAAACAACCATTTTGTAAGCGTGGTATTTAATTGAAAATCCATAATTTATTGAGTTTCAATTTTGACAGTTTACATTTTTTTCCTTTTCTTTTTAAATCAAAAGCGTTACTTCCTTAACACTAGGATTTGCTCCTATATCGTTTGGGCAGTTTACATACACAAATTCCACAAGGACAAACATCAAATCCGGTACAATTATTTGTAGGGCATACAAATATTGTTCCGTACGGGATTACAACCCGCGTACCTCAGCGCTGCAACTCATAGCTACGCCACTGCGCCACGGAACCGTCAATTTTTCTTTTCATTACCATCATCATACATACAGCCCATCACAAACCCAGTGCTTAACATAGGACTTCCCTAAAGAATGTCACAAAGTATGGTCCACCTGAATCTATCGACTTTCTACCTCTCTTTCTGTCTCTTACCAGGTTGTCGCTCTATCTAGTAGGGGTGCTGCCCTACACTACGATTACTGTTTTTCTTTTCAAACTTAACTTCACACTGTTTAATTTTAAAAGTATTTAATAACATCACAAATAGTTTGGAAAATACAAAAGTGTACGCCTAATGAGCGCTTTTATTTTTTATAAAAAATAAATAACTTTTAAACGGTGTTGAGTTCAACAACAAAAATCAATAGGGATCCTCCCTAGAATGTATGGAATCTTATTTAATACTATATAAATGTCAATCTATTCGTTACATTTCTACTTCACCGACGCACAGATCAAAGGACGGCAGTCCATATATTTTTTCAATTACATTTTCTGCCGACTTCCCCGATTACTAGCTTTTTTCATCAGAAAGACATCTTGAAAGAAGGGAGGCTACAGATGCATTATTAACGCTGAGGTCTAAGATGGAATACCTCACAGCCTCTAATTATACAGCCTCTAATTATACTGGCTCTCTATACTCTTCGGTCTGGAACACAGAACTGCTGGAACTGCTATTTGAGCCAGTGTAAGTGGGGATGACCTACCCACGCGTCTACTATATAAAAGAAGTCTACTACATCGTAAATGTCCGCCCCCTTTCCCCAAGGGCAGTCGCTTCCGATACGGCAGAAAGGCCCTACAGGCAAAAGCCAGTCCCAGGTGGTGTTTAGGGGGTAGGCACTTAGGCATAGTGTGTCGCACATAACCACGCAGCCGGCTGCGTTCCCGGAGTCGTCGTAATCGTCCTGGGTTCAAATCTCGGGTCGGCCAAAACTTAGTTTTGGTCGTCTGTCAAAAAAATTTAAGTAGGTGCCGGGAGTCAGAGGTTGGCGGTGTAAGCGGAGTTCGACCCCGTGCTTTGGAAAACATATAAAACCGTTGGTCTTGCGCCTGGTCTCTCTCCGGTCGTATCGGATTACTGTCCTATATATATATAATTTTTAAAGAAGTTTTCATATTCTATTTTATCGTTACAACAATTCTCGATTGTTATTTAAAAATTCCAAGGAAAACAAAATAAAAATTTGCCATTAAAATGGTTATAAATGGTTTTCAATTAATGTGAATTAGAGTTAAAATAAAACTCCCGTCATAACGAGGTCCGAGAGTAATTTATTTCAGGATGAATGTCTTGTTTTGGATTTTAAACAGTTGCTTAAATATTTATGTTCGACCCTAAAAGGGTTTAGTCTATTTGCGTAATGCAAATTTCCAAAGTTTAAAGATGTACTAAAGCTTTTATATGAACGCATTAGATGTGTTTTTGTTTTATAAATGAAAAATATTCTCCTTTCAATAGATGATACGAGCTATACACTAAACTGAATAACTTCTTACGTTATCAATTTGAAATAAGCTTTGAATAAAACTATTTTTACGGATTTTATTGCCTTTAATTTACTTATATTTAATTCCCGATGTTTCAACTGCTATGTAGTACCCATAATCACGCCCATAATCACGGCGAGGACTGAGATTATTGACGATGACGTCCCAATGTCAAAGTTAACCCGCAGTACCTTCAGCTTTTTAACTATTATTTGTGGGCCGATTTACACAGAATGAGCTTACTGTGTCTTGAGGTTTAACAGTTGTATGCTTGGGTTTACTTTTAGTGTTATTCATTACAGGATCCCAACAGTTGGTAGTACCCCACCTCCTTCTTTATTGAAATTAGGATGTCTTTTCATTTTAATAGCCACACGTATCATCATTGGTAGGAATCGATGTTATTTCGTGAGGATTTGTGGTCTGTCAAATCTAATGTAATGGCGTGGCGGGGACCGTCTAGGATATGATCAAAAATTGCATACTTCCCGAAGCGTTGGTATATCACGTCAGTGTTTCTATTGATCTTTTTGTTTGCCCTATATAAGAGAGACCACGTTTACAATTTATCTTGTATACTCTTGCATCTTGTAATACTCAAGTGAGTTTACAGCTGAAGTAAGAAGTTTTCTCTTCAAATTCCTCCATGAATATGTCGGTGACAATTTGAGATACAGGTGCAAAGCATCCAAAACGTCGGGAATTAAAAATAAGTAAATTAAACGCGATAAAATTCGTAAAAATAATTTTATTCAATGTGTAGTGTTCGTGAAAATATACGAAATAATAATTGAAATAAGCTTATTATTGTAACGATTATTTATTTAAATAATAAAATATTATTATTTCATCAAAATCAAACATTTATGTAAAATTAAATATCTTGAAATATTTCGACGATATGTGAAGTTCATTTATACCTCCTCCTAATGCGTATTGCATTGAGCTCAAAAAGGAAGGCCTCCATGTAGGATGTAGACAGTTACTTCATTTTACT